CTCACATGGAAAAATTGGATCAAATTCTACTGTCAGTTGCACTGCTGTACATCTGCAAACACTCAATTGAAGCCAATGGAATGATTCCAAATTTACACAGCTGAAATGGAAGAAAAAGCACAATGTAACTCACAGATATGAGGGTATCCAGATTTCACATAACTGTGATCACAAGTGTTTCTGTCCATTTCCCCCAAATTTATTTCTTCTTTTTAGAAACCATTATTGTATATTTGGCTTTTGGTCAAGCTAGTGCTAATGGCTTACCCTGGATTGGCAAGTAGGAGCCTAGTCAGTGACAATGGTGGTGCCTGCATTTATCTGTGACATGAATTCACCCAGAGAACATGGTTTTTAATTTAGTGATTTATAACTAAATTGTTAGTCGCAAAGAAGTATGTGCTTCACAAACAGGATTGTTCCTGTTTGTTGACAGATTATTTGGCCCAATCATATGACACTTCTGTTCACTCATAGCTTGTGTTATAAACAACAGAAAAATATTCCTGTATCAAAGTAAGATTTCAGTTTAGTTAGCTATTATCCATGAATGTTAATGTTTTTTATTGCACAGTAATTGATACCATACACAGGTATTTGCAACTAAATACATTCAACACTTGTTGTGACAATTTTCACTTCCGTAGTCTTTAAACCAGTTTCTATCTTGTTTCAGGTACTAACTGGCTTGATCAAGTCTTAAATGACTTGGAAACTACAGCTGCAAAATATACAGAGGAGGAAATTAAAGAGAGAATTAATATTACAAATGAATTATCTCTATTTCCACGTCTAGAATTTGGGGATCCAGAGAAATTTAAGGTCAGCATGGGATGATATTAGAAATGTTAATATGGTTGAATTTTACAGGCTATGGAGGACTCTTACCTTCCCCAAGGTGTGATCAGGTCAGCACAATCAGGGTGCAGTGCATTTGCTTAGCCAGTCCATGACTGGAAACCATGGAAGTTCAGACAAGGGGTGGAGAATTCATGAAAACGACCTTCCCACCACTGGGTTTCCTTAGATTCTGATCTGTCGCTCTCTCCTTTGCACTACTACTGTCTCCATAGAGCTGACTATATACAGAGGAGAGATTTGAGAGCCTCCACCAGAAAACAGACAATTAGCAATGGGACTGGGGGTTGAGGGAAGATTCTATTACTCCTCCATTTCATTTTCCAGGGAGTCTCCCATTCTGATTGCTGACAGCTTCTTTTGTATCGTTCAGTCAGCACCAGGGCTTATTTTCTGCCCCATGGTTTCCCAGGATTTCACGCAGCTGGAGGGACCCCCTCCCCTTATTTCAGAGTTATTAAGGGAGGCAATGGGAGAGCACTGAGACTCTGCCTTCGGAGAAAAGGGTAGTAGGGAATAGTTCTGTGGCTGCTGCTCTTGAGGGTTTTCCCCTTTCAATCTCTGCACCTGCTCCACAGATCTAGATGGGCCATAGAGCATGGAAGGGCTTCATGATCACAGAGAGGCAAGATCAAGATTTGGTATTGCATTCATCTGTTGCAGGAAAAGGACATTAGATAACACTGAATGCTGTTAGGGCCAGTGTTCCCTCCAATTTTTTCCATCCATGTGTAGAATAAATTTTGTTATGTGCATCATATCAAGGCAATGTGTGGATGTGCACCACCAGTAGAAACAAAAAGCCTAGATATAATATATATATCTTTAAAGAGTTACCATAGGGATAATTATTCCAGCCAGGACAGTTAAGGCATTTTAGAACTCATGACTCTTAAGCATAAGAGAGAAATATAAATTATGAAATGCATAGACCAGTCAAAAATTCAAATAACATACTTCTTTTAAAGTGATCAAGAACTAACAACAACAACAACACAAGTATGTGTTGAGAGGTGAGTGTGAAAGACAAAGTGTGTGTATATGTGAGACAGAGACATACATAGTGTGGGTGTGTGAGACAGACACCAGTAGCCACCAGCAAGTTCTCTCCAGCCCACTTCTGAGCTCTGTCGTGCCCCTGTTGCTCTGTGGATATGGAGTACTGGGGTGGGAAGGAGAGGTGGATACCCTGACATCAGTGATCCCGCTCCCCCCGCCACACACACACTCTGCACAGAAAGCAGGAGGCTCTGGGAGCAGCTGGCCAGGGGCTCCAAAACAGAGGGCAGGAGCAGTGCGGCAGTGTGGGGAGGGGCACCTGAAGTGTGTGGTACTGCTGAGCGGCCGTGCAGCTTAGAGGGAACTTAGGTTAGGTCCATAGTATTGCAGCAAATTACTCCAAAAACAAGAGCAGACTGAGGCGGCAAACACAGCAGGGTGCTAACCCTGGACCCATGCACAACTCTCCCACAGAAGACAGCAGTGGTAGTCTGCCCAAGAGTGAGGGCAGGGAGGGGTGTGAAGGGAACACTGATACTTTCAGGGACACATATGGTAAAACTGAGGGACCATATCAACTATCTGGTGGGACCTGCCTCTGGAACGCCTTCCTGGATCCGTGTACCTACTGCTGGCAGCATGACAGGTCCATAAATCTGGTGGGAAGCCAAAATTCAAGAGATAAATGATTAATCCTAGATGAACAACCTTTAACACCAGTACAAAGCTCACGGAATCTACAGCTGCTGAACAGCTGATTGATATGTCATATACGCGCCCTGTAGACAGCACTTGTGTATGCTTTTATTTTATCATTTTTGTAAGTAAGTGATTTTATTGCCTGAAACTTCAGAGGGCCCTCTGTTTAGCCAAATAGCTCTCATAACACAAGCAATGCAAACCGCTTAATGCTGTCCTGTCAATGCATCTCAAAGCCTGACCTAGAAGGCTCTGCTATAGTAGCGGGGACATCATCCTGTCTCCAGGTCCATTAGATGCTCATTCAGATAAATCTGAATTGTTTTGAAAAAATCCACTTCTTTCCCCCTTCAGCTTTCCCCGTTTCCCATATTCCATCCTTCTCCACGTTTCCTTCTCTCATTCATCCAAAACACTCCCAACGTCAGCTCACTGGTCTTCAAGTAATGCCCCTCCTCCCACTGCTACATTGTCTCTCCTTGATCGCAAAGGGCTAGCATGGGAAATCTGTGACGGAGCCAGAAA